ACTCTATACTGTCGTACAGGTACATGTTCTGTACGTTTTGTGACTCTATACTGTCGTACAGGTACATGTTCTGTACGTTTTGTTATGTATATTATGTGATATTTGTATAACTTTTGTTAATGTATGTTTTGGGATTTGTTTATATGTGGGATTTTGTTTGTGATATATGTCTCTAATATTTGTGTAAGTGATCCTTTGTTTATTATAATGAGATTCTTACTGATATCCTGGCTTAACTTTTTAATGATACCGGTAAGTCAATGTTGTACTGACCTCTAGCAGATCTACCTGTGGAACCAGTACAACGGTGCTGATAAAAAAAGCAATATTTATGATATACGTGATAACAATATGAATATACAACATTCAGATAATGCTGTTAAATAATTTATGATATTTCACGATTAGACATGTTAGTCTATTGTGTTCAAAAAAAGTTTCCTCTGGCCCTGACACCAGACAGACATTTTGACAGATAGATGTCTGGTGTGGGACATCTATCTGGCAAAGCGTCCAAGGCTGGTGTCAGGTCCATTGGAAGCTCAGGCTAACATCGTTCAAATCGAAATACCGGTATACATAGCTAATGTGTTTTCACCTTTGTTAAAAAGTGTCACTTTGTATGTATGTTGTCTCCAGGCCCTGTATCAGAAATCCCAATTATGGCCCAGAGTGTTGTCTGAAAAGTTAGGAAAATTAATTGTCAGGATAAAAAGAATTTGCTAAAAATTGAAATGAAAACATAAAACTACAGTATAACCTTGTTATACTTCCAACTTTTGTGAAGAGGAATTTTGGCATTTGGCGATAAATTGTGAGAGATATATAGAGGTAATCTTTAAAAATAGTAAAAACAAAAAAAGTGCCTTGAAATATAATGGTGGTGAACGAGGTTGCAAATAAATCCAGGGGCATTAAATCCAGTCCACTGTAGTGGATTTTTTACACCCTACTCAAGAGTAGCTAACGTTTTTGATGCTCTGGTAGCTGGGTATATTGCAAAAGGTATAGTGCTATAATATTATGTACCATGCTATTTATTATATGGTAGTCTTAAAATGATGATCTGGGTGATGTTAAGACTGCAGTTATGGTACCGATTTCTTACATGTCATTTTGCATATCATAGGAGCCCTCACCAGTATTGGACCCCGGTAATAAAGCTGCTATAGCTGACCATCCTCTCAAGATCTCTGTTAACTTGTGTTGTCTATAAAATTCCATCCA